GCTCTGTTTATAAGGACAGAAAAGTAGAACATTCCAAACATGTTCCCAAAATATTTATAGGGAACTTTTATTCTTTTGATTAGTTTCAATGCTGTAGACATGTAGAAGAATAAACATGTCACTGCACATTAAGGCTTTATTTCCTACTCACAATACTTTGGCAGCATTCTGGACAGAAAATTTTCTCCTTTTCTTTTAGATGTTGGCATAGCTTTTTCTAAGAGTCTTTCATTATCTGTCTTCTTTCAGATTTATTTAATCTTCATTTTATTTAATCCCTGTGTGCCCGATTCTTATCTTCTTCCATATCCAGGGCAGCCTTTGAAATCAATGACTTTCAAAAGTGTCTGCATGCAAAAGGGATTCATAAATGCAGGGAGGATGATAAATAGCCTACATATTTGCACAGGATATTTTCTGATCCTGCCTCTTCCCACTCCCATTTATTTTATTGACTATCTCTCCTTCACTATATTGTTGCACTCACATTTCCTCAGTTTCCCATTCTCTACCTTCCACTTAATTTTGTGCTTCTTTTGAATTTCTTTATCTCTTTCTTGTGACTCCTTCCTTTTATGATAATAATCCAGTAGGGAAAACAACATAATGTTCTGATTTATATATCACCACCTAGCTATTCCTTCCTTGGTTCTCCTCTTTGAGATGAAAACAGTTAACATGCTTGGGATTTTAAAGAACTAAAATCCACAGTGCCAAATGCATCCTCAGTTCACTCCACCAATGATCTTGGAACATTTTTACTTCTTAATTTCGTAACACAAACCAATAGATATGAAATACAATACAGAAGAATTCACAAGCAACTCAGTTTCCCAAAGCCACATCAAGTTCAACTTAATTTATTACTGGATGTTTACTACCCTCCTGAATGTTTCTTATCCTCCTGAAAAGGGCTTTCCTGCCAAAAAATTGTCATATATATGTATACATATATAGACATATGTGTGTATGTAGGAAAAGGATTGTTCCCAATGTAGTATTTATTCTATAGGATTAGAGTACTTACCAAATTAAGGATTTTAATTCTCTTTCCCTAGAAGTATGATGAAACTTTGGAGACAAATGCAATATGTGTGTATCTATAGCTATACATATATGTATATATACACACATGTATGTATACATACATATATGTATGTATATTACAGCTCTGTAACTCGTTGGCCATATGACCCTGGACAAGTCGCATTACCTATCTGGGCTTCAGTTTCCTCATCTGTAAAATTAAGGATTTGGACTACATAATTTATATAGTTTCTTTCATCTATAATATTCTATGGTGAAGGATTTATGTAATCCTTAACCCATGGAAAGCCGTTGTACTCTACTGAAATCTTAATGACGTTAAGAATAAGCAATTATATTAAATGGACCAGTATATTAAATGGACCACATGTGGTGAATTTATGGAAGGATATGTTGAAGAATTGCCTAGGATAGATAGGTTGTAATCTGCACCTTTGGAAAGACCATCTACATTAATAATATCACATGATATCACAATGATTTCACAAATCTATTTCTTCATTTGAGTGTTTGAGCATAATCTTTAATAGAGGAATTGCTACTCAGAAACTACTGTCCCAGTTGGGTTACATAGTCTCTTCCCTTCCTATTGTCCTGAGATTATATTTTTCTTCTCTCAGCCTGCTGTTGCTTGAAACTAACTCCATCCCTTACCTCAACTCAGTCCTTTCCTCTCAGCTCCATTTCTCACCTTGAGTCCTGTCCAGTTGGGGATTTCATTCATATGCTGGTAGAACCACCACCACTGGCTTGGAGTTGGGGGAAATCCTGGTCCCACTGTTTGGCTGAGCACAAAGCATGTAAGTAAAGCAGGTAGATCAATGCTTACTGGATTGGCAGATTGGAGGAAGATACACCAGCTCTCCCTGAAGAAGTATCAGAGTTTTGTTCCTGGTATTTTTTACATGAAACTCTGAATGTGCTTTCCAATAGGAACACTATTGTACATGGTTTTCAGGTTTCATAGTACTATGGGTATATAGTACCATCCATTAAGCCCATTATGGATTGAATACACTTTTGTAACTTGTCCTGGAGATGTAATTATCATTTTTTGGTATTATTTCTATGGGAAAATGTATTGAAAGCTTCAAATCAGAAGGAAGAAAGGAAGAAAAACAGTATTTATTAAGTGTTTACTATGTGCCAGGTACTGTGCTAAGTGCTTTGTGAATATTATCTCGTTTGATCCTTGCAACAACCCTGGAGGTAAGTAGTATAATTGCTCCATTTTAAAGTGGAGAAATGAAGGCAAACATTAAGTGAATTGCCCAGGGTCACACAGTGAGTGTCTGAGGCTAGATTTGAATTCAGGTCTTCCTAACTCCAGGTCCAGTATTCTATCCACATCACCACCTACCCAACTTATTAGTTGAAGGGCACTTCATAGAAGGTAATATCAGATAAGAAAATTCTATAGAGTTTATACCTATAAGAGACTCCCAAATCAGGATAGCATGAACAGTAAAGAACAATTTTATTGGTTTTATAGAGATGAAGATTCTACTGCTTTTGTAACCTCTCTTCATAAACCACTAAACAATAAAATTGCATCCTCTCCAACCCACGAATTTGGTATTGGTTCACTTGGAACTTTGTATTATGTATTAGTCATCAAAAACAAATAAAAAGGGTGGGAAAAGATATTTGATTTCATCATAGAGGATTTCCTCTACCATTGCAGATTGTAATCTATCCCCGCCTTCTCATCCCACTCAATTATTGTGTCCCTGTCTGCCCTTCCAAAGATTCTTGCAGAAGTATTCTCTAGGGCTGGTACGAGTATTCTCACAGATGGCAACATTTGAAACCAAGGATGACATTTATTGGGAAAATTAGTTGGTAAGCTATTCTGAGGCAGTGACATGAGATAGTTATGAATTATCATTGAAGAATTTTTTTTGTCTGCATTATCTTGACTATTCATTTGTATTGTTCAAGCTTACTGCATCAGAGAGCATCAGAGCTGAGGAACAGGGAAAATGACTACCAGAGAGAAGCTACCTGTGGTCATGTGGCTAAGATGAAATTGAGCCAGGACTGGAACTTAGGTCACAAACAGTGTGGTAAAGAGAAAAATACAGCTGTTTTGTAGTTAGAGGTACAAAATTTGAATACTAGCTCTGCCTCTTAACTACCTACCTGTGTGACTTTGGGCAAGTCATTGAATCTTTTGGGGCCTCAGTTTCCTCACCTATAAAATGAGGTGGTTGGTTGGAGTAGGTGACCACTAAGGTCTCTCCAAATCTAAATCTTTAACCATGGTTGCCCTTTGACTCCAAAAACTAGTGTTCATTTCCACTATACTCAGTTTAATTACTCTTTTCTCTATGTCATTTTGCAGCTTTGACATTATAACCTTCTATTCTGCCCTGATCCTTTCCTTATACATTCCTAGCAGCATCTATAGCAGTGACTTTCTTATCAACAACCCTAGAGATAAGGTGTTATTAACCCCATCTTATAGAAAGATTATCTGTAAAAGGAAACTTTCTCATTGAAATGTGGGAGAGGCCCTGACATGGTGTACATACAGAGCTGCCTGCTGTCACCACTGGGGGTCAGAAGCTGCCGGAGATTTGGGTCCTTTCTTATTCCCAAGGCAGCAGAGGAGGCCAAGGGAAGTTAATCGATGAAGTTAATGAGTGAGTAATGGAGCAGGGACTAGATAGAACCCAGGCAGAAAGAACTCAGTTTTCTGGGCTCCTAGTGTTAGTGTGCTTTCCACTACACTACTCTCTCACAAGCTACTGTCTGCTCTTTACAAAAAATTCTGAGGACATGAAATAAGCTGGCAGGACAAGCTCTTAGAAGAGAAATAAGGGCTAAACAATAGTATCTCTAAATGAACTCAGTTTTACTGACTGCTTGGCATTTAATTTCTTAGAAATAAAAAGCCTCTTTGGGATCTTAATGACGTTTCAAGAAAATGTCTCTAAATGTCTCTAAAAAATCTCCCTGAGTAATCGGTCTCAGTGTTGTACAACTTGGAATTCCTTTCTATAGCTAACCTAAATTCTTCATGTTGCCATCCAAAACTTGTTTTCTCTATTTTGAAGTCTTACGGGATCTCTTTAACCTGAAAATAAAACATGTCGAGGAAACCCCCTCTGGCAGTACATTGAATGGAGATCAGTTCGCTTATGAAAGATTCTTGAGTCTACACATCAACGCCCATGAAACCACTCTATCCCTGGGTGGAGAGTATTTTAATCAATTTTGATTCTCCCCTGAGAACTTCCAGCAATTTAAGGATGCTGCCTGATCAGAGCCGATAACTTCAACTTTCCTGGGCAGAGTCCAGCAAGTTTATCTTTCCGTTAGGATTTTGAAGTTCTTAAGAGATGCAGAGATCTCCATCCAATCATAGGACCACGCCCCTTTACTGCTATGGCCATCCACTTTCCCTCTCCCACCTCTTTCCCTTCACTACTGAAGAGAAAGAAAGTTGAGTGAGAGCGCGGCTCTACCAGGATTTTGAGTGGAATAGAGAAGGGCAAACCGAAGGGTCACCGCAGCAGCCCTGGAAGCTGCGAGCCCGGTGGGGTTGGGGAAAGACACAACGTCAGCGTTTAACATGCAAATATATTCCCCATCCTCCGCCTCCTCCTCCCCGACAGCCTCCTCCTCTTCTAGTTCCCCCTCCCCTGCCCTGGGAGTGAGGAGGGAGCCCGAGTCTCAGCTGCCTTCAGCTGGCTCCGCAGCTCTGCATCCACCCACGTCCCCTGGGAGTCGCGGCGGCAGCGGGCAGCTCTACATAAACACAGAGCGGGCGGCCGCTGCCCGGGACTCTCCCGCAGCCACGGGGAGAGGTGGTGCGCTGGACTCGCACTGCGCTGCCCACGCCCGGGCGCACTAGCTGAGCGCTCTCCTGTACCTCCGGGGCTCTGTCTTCTTTGCTGGGCTGGGGCATCAGCTGCAAGTTCCGTCTCTGGAAGGTGACTGCCGGAGGCTCTCCCGGCCGCCTCCTCCTCTTCTCTAGTCTTCTGTTTCTTCTTTCTCTTCCACCTCCTCCATCCCCATCCCACCCGCGTCTTCTGGATGGCTCTGGCGGACAGCACACGTGGATTACCCAATGGGGGCGGTGGCGGCGGGGGCGGCAGCGGCTCCTCGTCGTCTTCGTCGGAGCCGCCTCTGTTTCCCGAGATCGTGGAACTGAACGTGGGGGGCCAGGTATATGTGACCCGGCGCTGCACCGTGGTGTCAGTGCCGGACTCGCTGCTCTGGCGTATGTTCTCGCAGCAGCAGCCGCAGGAGCTGGCCCGGGACAGCAAAGGTCGCTTCTTTCTGGACCGGGACGGCTTTCTCTTCCGCTACATCTTGGATTACTTGCGGGACTTGCAGCTTGTGCTTCCCGATTACTTCCCCGAGCGCAGCCGGTTGCAGCGAGAGGCAGAGTACTTCCAGCTGCCCGAGCTCGTGCGCCGCCTCGGGGCTCCCCAGCAGCCCGGGACGGGCCCGCCGCCGCCCCACCCTCGGCGTGGGGTATACAAAGAGGGTTCCGTGGGGGGCGGAGGCGACGAGGGGCTGCCCCTGGGCTATCTGGACCCGGAGCAGCAAGAGGGCGCCTCGGCAGGGGCGCCCTCACCCACCCTGGACCTAGCTAGCCGCAGCCCGTCTGGGGGCACCGGGGGTCCGCTGCTCACCCCATCCCAGTCCCTGGACGGCAGCCGGCGCTCGGGCTACATCACCATCGGCTACCGGGGCTCCTACACCATCGGGCGGGACGCGCAGGCGGACGCCAAGTTCCGGCGGGTGGCGAGGATCACAGTGTGTGGCAAGACATCTCTGGCTAAGGAGGTATTCGGGGAGACCCTGAACGAGAGCCGAGACCCTGACCGGCCCCCGGAGCGCTACACTTCTCGCTACTACCTCAAGTTCAACTTTCTGGAGCAGGCCTTCGATAAGCTTTCTGAGTCCGGCTTCCACATGGTGGCCTGCAGCTCCACGGGCACCTGCGCCTTTGCCAGCAGTACGGACCAGAGCGAGGACAAGATCTGGACCAGCTACACCGAGTACGTCTTCTGCCGGGAGTGAACCATTTGGACACTCTCCTTTCTTTAGCCATCCCCTCCCCCCTTTCCATGCATCTATGAGGGATATTATTTTATCCCACTAGGTTTTATCTGCGCCCCCCACCTCCACAACCCTCCTCTATTCCTCAGAGACACTTTCTGTTATGACTTCTTGTCTCTAATAGCCCATCTTACCCTCCAATTTAGTCTCAGCCCTTGAACTTGAAGTTCGATCCCTTTCTTTGCTGATCTTTTAACCCCGGTTCACGGTTCCTATCGAGAAGGGTTGAAAGGCACATTTTTCTCCTTCCGCTTGGCTATCAGACTCCTCTGTCTCAGTCCCACTCCGACCCCCATTCCCTTCCCCATCTTCTTTCCAGCCTGTCTTAAACCTGGATCAAGGGAGACAAGGTTGTCACAAAACAAAACGGAAACACAACAACAATACCGCACCAAATACTTTGGACTTGACGACAATGCCCGGAACTGTTCAAACTCGGATGGGGAAGGTATCTAGGGTGTTGGAGAAAGTAACATTCCTTGAAATCTTCTCAAGTGCTTGTGACTCATAAGGTGGTCGAAAGGGTTGAAAATTGATAATATTAAAGCCTGAGAAAAGTTCATGATTTTAAAAGGTTATAGTACAGCCTTTTTTGACTTTGTTTTAATGATAGATTTTAACTGGATGCAAAGGATATTAGAGACTGGGAGCAAGAGAGACTGTTCTGGAATTTGGGACACTTTGGATACAATTGAATTACTTTAAATGAATAAAGTCTTTAAAAATGTTAAAGGTTAAAGTAAGAAAAGAACAACTGGCTACATTTTTAGTTCTTTCGATTTTCGTGTAGAGTAGACTTTGCAAGCTATTTACACTTGCAGAAAGGGAGCTAGTTGACTGCTGTGCTTCCTGAGGCTGACTTCCCTGGCCCATCACCAAGAGCAGTTTGCTCTACTTTAGTTGACATGGCAGCCATTATTGGCAACAGGGAGGAATATTGCTGTCATAGAAGACAATAAGTAAGCCCGTCTGCAGCATTGCATGAAATAATTTGACAGTGAGTTTAAAAAAACGGTAGAACAGCCAGTATTTTCAGTGGAAGAGCCATGGATATGAAAAAAGCACCAGGTGTGGATGGAGGGGTTTCTTTTTCTTCCAGCGAAGGAGATTTGGTCCTTGCTTGGCTCTGACTAGCAAGTACATTGGAATTAGGGAGAAGAGGCACTTGGTTTGAAATCTGAACATTTTCACCATCTGTTTAAGTACATGCATGATTTTGATGCCAAACAGTGAAAGAAAGCACATGCTCAGCAATTTATAGAGATGTTAAATAACACACAGTAAAACAACAGTTACTGAAAAAGCAGCTTATTAAGTTCACCATTCTGATTTCTAACTTTGAATTTACTAGTACTTATATGATCTAACCAAAGAACTTCCAGTAGAGTTTTAGTCTTTAAACTTTATTTCCTCATTCTGGAGAGGAATTCTAAATGACAATTTTTAAAATCCTCTTTTACTTGAGTAAAATATGTTTAATTTTTGGTTACACATAGATTTAAGACCACTTGTTGTTATTTTTTAAAAGCCAAATGCTTGTTTGCTGAGTAAACCTGAAAACAGTATTTTTGCATTCTCTCATGGAATTTGTTAGAAGAAAGGTGGAATATATCCAAGGTGATTCATTTGCAGAAAAATCTAAGCGCCAAATGCTGTCCAGTTGTAGAGAGTTGTAAAATGGAGTATTTTTAAAAGAAGGCAAATAAATGCTTAAAAGTTAATGGAGCAATAAATGGTAACTTGAGGCTAGTGCAACAGAATACAGAATGAGACCTGGTTGCCTTATGCCTTTACTCTAAAATGAAATAAATCCCCTTTTGCATATCCTATCTATATCATAAGTGAAAGGAAACTGATCCTAGCTCCTGAGTGTGTAAGATGTCATTCTCTGGAGATTTCCTGGCCTACAAGTCTTTCTGTCTTTTTGTTTGTTTCACTACTTTTCTCAGAAGTATCTTTTGAAAAGATTTTGTAAGAATCAATTTTCAGGAAAAGTATATAAGTACTTTTTCTTTATTTCTTTTTTAAAAAAATGAACCTTGTACTGTATCTTATGCCCATTAACAGAATTAAGGATGGAAATTTAAATCTTAAATGACTTATGACCCAATGTATATATAGAGTATGCAAACATTCATCTTTTAGTTTTAAAATTCATTTACTAATGTTATGAAATGTCATAAATTAGCCCATTCCCTTGTTTCATGTGCTGTACATACTAAGGCAATATGTTCTGATCAGTTTCCTTATTCCCATTTCTATGAAAAAATTGAGTATAAAAGAAGTACAATTGCATAGCTGAGTTGGCCCACTATGATTTGCTTGAATCTCAGTTATCCCCAAATTTCTGTTGATTTGATGCCATCTTCCAATTAAGGTACCTGTATTTTTAATCTGCTACCTTTTTCTTCTTTTTGATATGGGGACGGTGAGGGTTAGAGTTTTTTATTACAGTGCCTGTCTAGCAACAGGTTTTTTTTCTTCCAAAGTTAGAATGTGTTTTACGATAGAATTATTGAATGACATAAGATGATAGGAATGAGTGATAGTATAAGGAGAATCATTTTTCTTAGTATTTTAAATACCATCTTAGACTTGGTAATTATTAAAATGTTAATCTCACTGCAGTCTGAAGTGAGTTAGTGTTGTTTGTTCAGTATCTAGTGGCCAAAGGTGAACAGCACAAAAAAAATTAGGCCAAATGACATTCAGTTATTAGTTCATTAGACAAGCATACCCAGAACTTAAGTCCTAGAGATTTATATCTGAAAGGGAATACAGAGGTCACTGGGTCCAATTCCTTCACTTTATAGATGAGGAAACAGGCCTAGAAAAGTGAAGTGATTCCTGGAGGTCCTTTGACTCCAAAGTTAGTGTGTTTTCCATTATACTTGCTCTTCCTCTTAAGAAGGACCTCAAAAAACATATTTAACAGTTAAAAGAATTAGTGATTCTTAATAATTGAAAGATTTAGTGATTCTTATTTATGTTCACATACCCATAAAACTCCATCCAAACCATCCAGGAAGCACTTTCCATAAGTACTAGGTTCTCATCTCTCAAACTCATATGGCTCTCTTTACAAACCTTGTGAATTTTTAATCTATTAAGTCCTTGGGTTGAATCTGATGTTTTGTATATCCTTTAGTTGGAGGACTAGAGATTCAATAGTTAAGGAAGGTTGACTGTGCTTTCCTTAAAGAGATGAATCCTTTGCCCTCAAATTGAAAGTGAGATGCCCTAAACTGGAACAGAGTCTTTAATGAAAGACTGGTAATTTTCTGGTGAATTTAGACTGTATTGATAGTCTAAATAATTTTGGTAAAGAAGTCTACTTTGAAATTGGAACCTTTAGCTGGATTTCTACAGATCAAAACAAATTGAAGGTTGGCAATTACCTGTTAAATACTGGCAGTATAGATAATTAATTTGGGTAATTCAGGCCTTCCAAAAACACTTATGACTGAACAACTTAGGGAAAATTGGGGAAGGGAAGAGAGGGAGGAACACTAATTATCCAGGTAATTTTGACTATTATAAAACTGGTTCAGATTACATGGAAACTATCCATGTTGATCCATATGTTCTTTGATATTTAGAAGCTCAACAGGAAATTGTCATTTCCTTAATAATTAATTTCATTTTAAAATAAAAAAGGTAATTGTGGGGTATCTTGAGTCCACTAGTGGTTAAAAAAACAGGTACCATTATTATTAATACTGTTCTATCTCTTTTGAAACCATATGTTTGACAGGATATATATTTTTATACATGTAGATTATGAGCCATATTCATCCTAGTTTTTAGACTGAATGGTGTAGAAAACAGAAATCCCTTGAGGATGTTAGAGACCAAATTAAATTTTTTTTCAATATGTTTGTGTTTTATATTGGGTTGTATTTTGATTAAAGTGTTAAAAATCTAGAATACATTGTATTTGACATTATTGTGCTTATATCCCTAGCAAGAAAAAGCTTCCTAATCCCACATTCTTACACAACATACTATGTACCTGGCAACTTCTCTGAAGAAGTTCACTGTCAGTTGAGGAATACTCACACTTGGTTTATTTTCAAGCGAACTCACAATGCAAACTACTTATGATCATTCAGTTTTCTTTAATGCAGGGAATTTTCATGGAGCTTAGATAAAGTACTTTATTTGTGTAGTGCCATAGACACATACCACCCAAATCACACTAAGTTCCCCTTTGAGAATAGATGTTTTTCTAATCTTACAGAAAAATCAGTACATTATTAATGAAACTAATGATGATTTTAGTAGAATATTGTTACATTGAAAAGTCTTGAGAGAGAACCAGAAACTAATGAAGAGTTTCTTTCACAGGCAAAATAACAAGTTTTATTCAATTGATTGAAGGTTTGCTTTAATAATAGGCTACAAGAGAGTATGAATGTGTGTTGTGAACCTATTGGAGAAGATTCTTTGTACTGAATTGTGAATAACTAGTCATTAGTGATTATTAAAATGGCTATTTTTCTTCACTGTGAGGACATTCAGATATTGAATGAAATTTCTTAGATGACTTGTTTAAATCTTTATTTTTGAGAAATAAGTCTGTTATAAAGTTCTCGTTGGTTTCCAAAAGTAATACTGCTGGCAAAACAACTGCCAGTAATTACAGACTAAACGTTGAGGATTTAAATTCTTTCCTGGGATGTCCTGAAAACATCATTGCCTAAATGGAAGCTCTACAGAAGAGAGAAATCTTGAGTGGGTGGAAATATGGACCAGTGGACTTGTATCTTCAGCTAGATCTTTTTTTTTTTTTGCTCCAATATGTATGGGGGTATAAGAACAATCTTAATGTAAACCGTAATACTGCTGCCTTTCTGACTTTGAAAGTAGATAAAAGTTCCTTTATTCCTTTTTCAATATAAATCAAGATGAACTTACAAAAAAGATGAAAGATTCTATCATAGATGCTAATTTGAAAGAAATCAATGATCATATATTATATCAGATTTTTTCAGGTAGACTAATAATTTTATAAATTGAGGAGTACTCTGCTACCAACTAGTTATATGAACTTGAGCAAATGATTTTGCCTTTCTGGGCCTCAGTTTCCTCACTTTTAATGAAAAGTTAGACTAGAGGGTCTCTGAGGTAGTTTCCAACTCCCAATCACTATGATTGCATGAGTAAAAGTTGCTATTCTACTGTCAGCTGAAGAATGTAAAATTCCCACACAGCAATTTTTATAGCTTTCAGTGGGCTATTTCAGGTCTTTAGATCTTTTCCCCTCCTCTCCCAACTTCCGTGGAAATGGCTCATTGGTATATGTCATTTAATGTAAAAATTTTAATTTTTGTAAGCTAAGTAATCAGGAAACCAAGGGGGAAAAATCTCCACTTCATTTTATAATAAGTTGATTATGAACCTTTCTCATTTGTATACAGTTATGAGGGAAAATTCTTCATATGTCTCCTAAATGTTCTACAGATTTTTATTTTCCATATTCGCAACTAGATGTATAACTAACATCCTCAATAGTGTTTTTCTCCTCGTATTGTGGAGTATAAATCCTTGATTATGTGACTTGTTAATGTATTCTATTAAATACTAAAAGCAAAATAATCATTCACTACTTTAATTATTCCTCCTGTTTATTGAGTATGAATTCACTTGGAACCTAGTCTGATTTCAGTTAGAAGGTTTCCTAAATAGTGGGAAAACTTCCCAAGTTGTTGTGGGAATAATGATGTGTTTGGTACTATCAAATGAACTTCTCACTATGTAATTGACCAGCTGTGCCAGGAAGTGAATAGATTTCCTCCCTTGATGAGTCTGTGCCCAAGAAGGCACAGGCAACATGGTTCAGAATGAAAAGAAGAATGCTGATTGGTGAATGTTTTTCTTCACCTCAGTACTCTGTGTCATATGTACCTTTTTAGGAATATGGGGAATGTAGGTGGTGATGACAACAGAACTGTGTATTAAAATCGGAAGAGAAAAGGAGAAATCTAAAGAGTGAGATGCCTTAATTAAAACTGATATTTACATAGGTGAAGATAGGAGGCACAAAGATGGTTAGCTCCATTTTTAATATTGGGGGATTTTACTGCATGAACTTTATGCACTGAGGTCATTGCTTTCAGAAGGAATTCTAGATCAGTGTTTTTCAGATTGGGGGAAATCAAAGAAGCTATTGTTAGGGAATGCCAAGTAGCTATTTGTGCTACAGAATTGTAGCATCAAACCTTAGTCTTTGAAGAGAATGAGCCAACTTTCCCCTGAATCTCTTCCCTTCTAGTATTTAATGTCTCCCAAGGAGAAAAAAGACTTTTGGGTGCTTTCTGGCATTTAAAGGGACAAGTGGCTTGTGGAAGCCATGTGAGATGGTGGGACTGGGATGAAAAAAAAAATCTTGAACCAATACAAAGGAGAGGCAAGTTTATAAAATTATGTGTAGATAATGCTTTAGGTTTTCATATTTTGAAGAGGGGACTACCTTTTATTTCTGTGAGACTTTTCACTTCTTACTTATATAAAAATCAATTTTTAAAGAAAATCCTCTAGTGGAGTTCTACTCTGATGCCTTATTGTGGTGTCCAAATGAGCTTGGGTTATCCAAGGCCATGCCAGCACCAGCAACATGTCATATGTGTATGTATGCGTATGTATACACACACATATACATACACATATGCACATACATACACACAGTTTCATTAGTCCATTCCTAGGGAGGATACTCCCTTCACTGAGGCAAACGGCTACTTCTTCTGTAAAGAGAGTTGCCCAGGGCACTGTGAGGTTAAGTAACTTGCCCATGGTCACGTGGCTGTTGAATCAGGACTTTTACTCAGGTCTTTGTGACTCCAAAGCTATCTACTGTCATGTTGCCTTTATACACACACACACACACATATGTATCTATATTTATGTATGTATGTATATACATATATATATACATATATATGTATATATGCAAGTTGATAATTGCATTTCTTCTATACCTGTAGGACTTTTCATTCTAGTCTGATTGATCATGTAATGAAAATTTTTGGGGGTATTTAATGGTCTCTTATCTTTATGCATATGAATCCTACTATCTAAAAGTCCCCCAAATGTCACCTTCAGTGCAAAAATGGCCCATTCTCATCTCCCTCACCTTTTGTTTCTCTTGTATTTTCTTTCTGTCCAGACCTATACTTATGCATAGATAAAAAAGACTAAAAAAGACACTAGAGACCATGTGCATGGAGTAAGGCTGCTGAAAGGGAGGGGAGGAACATTTTTTGTTCATTGTTTTCTTCCATTCCACTATTATAGCTGATGGATGACAGAATTACAGTAGTAATATTGCTTCATTTCCTGGTTTAGGCTAGTCATGATCATTTTTTAGCCTGTTGTGTTTGTTTTTTTTTTTGGTTGGGCAGTGCGGGTTAAGTGACTTGCCCAGGGTCACACAGCTAGTAAGTATTATGTGTCTGAGGCCAGATTTGAACTCCTGTCCTTCTGACTCCAGGACCAGTGTTCTATCCACTGCGCCTCCTAGCTGCCCCCTTTAGCCTGTTGTGATAGGATCATAGTCTTCATATATATCCAAATGAGATACAAATGTATGTAGATGAGAGGGTATGTAAGTGAGATTCCAAATGTATGTTAGGTAAAAGGGCATTTTGTGTATCTAAACTAAGTGCTACTTGTTAAATATCCTCTCTATGCTATGGTTAGGCCCTATACACAGTGGGCCTTTAATAAATTAAATACTTGTGAGTGACTTATAGATTAATCACTAGGCTCCTGCCTAAAACCTTTCCAGCTTCATAGGAACCTCCCAAGCCTTAATGCTCCACTGGCACAGTTTTTGAGGACATGGGGTCATTTCTACATCACCTTGAAGCATTATGGAGGACTTAAATATATATATATATATATATGAATATCACAACAAAATAACAGTATCAGTACATTGCAGAAAATGGAACCTGTGAACAACAGTTACTACACTAGGTAAGTTTTCTAAGTATTAAAAGGACGTTTCCTATTTTCCTACATGAGGATGTTGAGGCAAGAATTGGTGGTGATTAAATGTAGTTATCCCAAATCTATAGAGAGGCATGTTGGAATAGTGGGAGGAAGGGAGGAAATATGCATTTCTGTAGCACCCGGTATATGCTAGGCACTGTACTAAGCATTTTACAATTACAGCGTATAGAAAGCCAACCAGGAAGATGTGGGTGAAAGTGTAACATATATTGGCTGTGTGAACCCTGGGCAAATCACTTAATTTCTCATGTTCTAGGCAACTTTTTAATACTATAAGGTCCAGATAATGTACCAACCTGCAGTGGTGGAGGGAATTTCCTCATTTGAGAATTCCCTATCTCACCTCCTACTTTTTCTTGTAAAAATAACATATTATTAGTAGTTCTTTTAAAGTTCACTCCTCATTTTTAAAATCAGTGATAAATCCTCTACCTTTCATCTCTTAATTTTCTGGAAACCAAGTCAAAGTTAACTCCTATTTTAGTTTCAAATGGGGAAAAGGGGTAAAAAATTAGATAATTAGTCTTCTTTAAAATTTAAAGGACACAATGAATGGGCCACTTCTATTTGAGAAGACTGCCAAGGGCAAGAAACCAGGAAACCACCAAGAAACTATTACCTGTGACTTTGGTACCTGCCTCCTAATTCACTTCATGACCTTAATTTTAGCTTAGTTCTCACATAGATTTCTTTGAATGTCAGATTTGGACAATAATACTTACTTTATGCAGTATTTAGAGGCATATTTGTTTTGTGCAACTGCCTGTGTGTGTCAATCTATTTTTTTCTTGTGTAGAGAAGAGAATTTGGTTTATTGTATCTACTATATATAATTTTAGAGAATTAAATACTGAATATTACCAGCTTTGCTTTGTGCTATATAGACTTAATAAGTCAAAACTCATTCATGATTGCTTCCTTTAAATCCATATTTTGTGAAATTATAAGTTTGGATTCATAAAATTATTACTTTTCCATCTGACTTGAAAATTACTTGCTTTGATTGGACAAAACAGTTTGATTTTTTCCCTCCTGAATTACGATTGGTTAGTTGGCAGCTGCTTTAAGGCCTCATGTGAATTTTTGTCCAAAAATATTTTCATTTTATAATAAAACTCAAGTTCACTGACAACTATGTTATAGGCTTTCCACTGGGGCAATCACTTGATATGTGGATGTGATGATCTTAACTAAAAATTTTCAAGAAACATTGTTAAAAGCCATAGGAAAGGAATTTGACCTAACTAAAAAGTTATAGTGCTGATTCTCATATCTAGCAGCTGAGACCTGTGGGCTTGTTAAATGAAGGCTCCAAAGGCTGTTTTCTTTATTAAAAAAAAAAAAGATCTATTTGAGAGGATTTTGACCTTACAATAGCTAATGTACTGTTTTTCTCTCTATTCAGAGGCTCACACTTAACCATGTGATATTTTTCCCATTTGGGTCAGTCTGTTCAAAGTGTAAGCTCTATACATGAGCCAGTATCTGA